GTTTCTAGACATTGTGACCATTGTTGTCAAAGGCGCACTTAAGCCATGCCTTAGCCTTGAAATGAGGCGCAAAACATGTTTGAGCGTTTCATCTTGCTTAGCAGGCACTTCAGGGTCTCTATCAAGTCTTTAATGCATACCTCTCCTTTCAATGAGCATAATCCTGAAATGGCGATGCTAAACAATTGATATTTCACTTTATCTTAATTGTTCAGTTTCTTTGTCCATGTATTTGTTATTCATGCTTGTGATTAAGTCTTGGATTACACAACATATTTGTATTTGTTCTCCATTTATGCCTTTCTTCACTAAAATCAGCACTTTATTTGCACTTAAACCTCAACTTACTGTAGAGATTTTTGGAAATATGGTGTGAGTCACACAAACCATTTTATATATGGTGTGAGGCACTCACAAAGACGGACATTCTGCACAACTAGGCCACCACCAAGATGAATCAAACTGAAAACAACTCGATTTTCAAATTGTTGATGCAGATTGCTCCATTTTAGAGCTATATATACTTGTCTGCTTGAGGAGGTTGGAAGGCAAAGAGCAAGAGACAACTAACTTCAATTCAGTAATGAAAGGTTTGACTACTACATGATCCCTTCTTATGTTAATAATGTGAATCCTGTGTGACTGACCATGTTATCCTGCCTTTCAGAGTATAAAGACGTACATAATTCGTTCCAAACAACAGACTATTATGCACGGAATGTATGCCTACGGGTGTGTATGACATTTAAAATGCAAATTATCCATCTAACATCTAACTTTGGATCTTTGAAGGTATACTGACAAATATTTACTTTCCTTTCAGGCATTTGAACATCTTTTACAACGTCAATTGATCTCCTTGGTTGACAACAGAGGGCACAGCCAATCTGTTGAGTTTCGTCCGGTGAGGCTTTTGATCTCATCACATGAACTACATCAGGGACTGAAAGCATACCGTTCCTGTCCAGTAAGTTACTTTCAGGAACATTTATATTCTTTTAGTCTGAAATATTCTGGGGTGGTTGTGGATATCGATATAATGATAGTAATAAACACATCCGAGGGTCTATTGAAAATAACCTCTTATCCCACAAAGGTAGGGGTAAAGTCTACGTATATTTTAACCTCCCTAAACCCCACTTGTGGAATTACGATGTCTATGTTGTTGATAGCAATAAGCACGCTTTTCAGTCAGTCAGTATAAACAAGCAGAGAAAGATTATCTAGTATTGGATAGATCTTTTTTAACTCAAATTGCATATGCATAAAAAGATCTATTGGTTCAAGACTATGTACCTATTCGGCTGAACTTGGTACAAATTATAAGTTTCGTCCCCGAACTATTGACAACCTTAAAAACACCCCTCTACTTGACTTATTAAACTTAGATACACCCTCGATTTGTCACATTACATAGCAAGTAGTCTTAAACTGTTGTAAGAGCATTGAGTTCTTAATAAAAAACCAAGAAAAGTGTTGAAAACACTCCTAAACTTGGCGATAATTTAGGGGTGTATTTCATTCATATTCCAAGATCAGGGGTGTGTTTAAGTTTAGTTAGTAAGTTAAGGGGTGTTTTTAAGACTGCCAATAGTTTGGAGATGAAACTAATAATTCGACCCGAGTTTAGAGGTGTTTTCAATACTTCTCTCTAATTTATACTAAGAAATCCACTAAAATGTACAAAACTAACTTCAAAACCCTGTCAGTAACACTTGATGTCGCTATCCTAGAATTTAGAATCCATAAAGTTTAAATTTTGATTCCGCTTCCGCCGGCTTGTTGATTAAACCATTGAATTTCAGTACTAATTAGTTTTTGCTCATTTTGCAGGCAATTCTTCATAAACTACTTGACCTTGCAGTGTGAAGTCAAAGCCCCATATGTTGTATTATTTCATCAGATTTTTATTTTTTTGTAAAATTAGAGTAATTTTAATATAAAAAGAATTCTACAATTTCCATATTATGCCACATTTTTCTTTTTCATTTTTTTCTCCTAACTTCCAATATAGCAATGTTTGTTGCCCATCTCTCTTAAAAAGTTATTTTTCATTAAAATAATTGCAATAAATTTAGTTATTAATTTTATAATTTTAATTTCTGATTGAATTAATATTTATCATTAGTGTTCAATACTTCAATTATATATAATTTATAAGTTTTTTACTGTTAAAATTTGAAACATAAATAATTATGTCATAACTAGTAATAGATAGTCTTATATATGTTACTTATGAAATTTTCTCTAAATAATTATGTCATAACTAGTACTCCCTTCGTTTCACAAAGAATGACCTTCTTTCCTTTTTAGTCAGTTTCAAAAAAATGACTTTTTTCCTTTTTTGGTAACATTTTACTTTTTGCTTTTCACGTGGCATGTTTATGCTCACAAGATTAAGGACAATTTTATACATTTGACATAACTTTAATTTAGGACCACAAGATTCAAAAGTCTTCTTTAATTTCTTAAACTTCGTGTCAAGTCAAACCAGACCAATCTTTTTGAAACGGAGGGAGTTAATATAGTCTTATATATGCTAATTATGAAATTTTCTCCATTTAAAACTTTAAAGGCAATTTAAATGGTGAATTGGCTAATAAAATGTATAGCCCAATTGGGAATGTTTGGATTGGGCTGAGGCAGCCCATTTTCACACATCTGTTGAAATTGTATCTGAATTTGAACTTCCCTTTTAAAAATTTGGAAACAATTGTAAATGAAAAATCAAATTTTTATTTGATTTGTTACTTGTTGGACACAACATTTGAATATTAATTATGTTTGAACGTGCATTTCAGAAAAAAAATTATATTAAAATAAGTCCATTGGGTATAAATCATCATATATTATTAAAAGTGGAAGCACCAAAGTGCAAAGTTGAATTACCATTTTACCCCTACATTAAATTAAAATGTTGTAAAGTATTTATATTAATTAATTATTAACTACTAATCCAACACAAAAGTTAATTTTTTATTCATTAGTTATGAGTTACACCTCCTCCAATATGGCTTTTAAGCATTTTCAGTTTTCTAAGCATCAAGATATTTTCAGTTTTCTAAGACACATATTTAATTTAATTAAATTGAATGGTACAACAGATGCATGGAATCTCTTTAGTTAGGAATATGAATAGCTAACTTCATTAAATCTATATATATTGTAATCTATTATCATTTCTTTACTTTTTATCCTCTCAACATAGTTCTCGATATTTCTTGTATTTTTTTTTCTTTAATATATATCTTTTTCTTTAATATATATCTTTTTCTTGATTTGTTTTTGCTAATTATTAATTCTTATATATTTTTCTTCTGTTTCAGATTTTTACCTTATGATTTTGAATTCTTCACTTCTCATTCACATCATCAGGTAAGTAATACGTACGATATTCGTTTTCACAAAAGTATAATGTAATTTGTAGGGTTTTAGTAGTATAAATGATATAGACTTTAGATTCATACAAAATTATTATTCCTTTGAGTGGATACTTTTTTGAAGATGTACACCCAATATTTTTAAATAAGATATTTTAAATATTTCAACTATTTATATCAAGTTCCTTATTCGTGAGTATAGATCGATATATTATATTCCGTAGTATGATTATATTTAAATAATTTAATTAATATTTTCCTGTTACATTTACATATGAAAGGACTTATAATCTTGAATCAAACAAAGAAAGTTGTACGTGCAATTCGATTTTTATATATCGATTAAATTTTCTAATGTCACTAATTATTAACTATCTCTATCACAAATAAACACTATTTTTCAAGTGTATCCCATGAAATTGACAATGATACATTATCCACCTTAAAGAAACATATGTTGATCAATATTTGTACAACATGAAATACAACCTTTATTCGGCAATAATTTCTTGATATGCATGTGTCTATAAAAAGGAGGTTACAGTTTCTTACAAAAAATACAAACTTTAAGATGTGTGAAACACTTGCAAACATAATCAACATTACTTATGTCACATATAAACTATTTGTTGTTGAAATATTAAAAAAAATAAGGGAAGTGTTGTACTAAGTATAAGATATATTAGAACTATATAAGAAAAATATCACATATACCGATTCAATTGATTGTGTATAACTACAAACAATTATACTTCTCTTTCAAAATTTAGTTACTCAATATTATTTGCAAGTTTTAGTAGCATCTATATCATTTAATTTTTTTGTACTAATTAACACATGACACACGTGCAACGCACGTGCCTAGAGACTAGTATTCAATATGGATATGAATAAGTATATAGTCAAGCCTTTGCATCATAATTGCTTTGTACTTGTATTAATAAAAATAGTTGATATATGATAAATTAGTCAATTCATATACTCAATTCTATTAAACAAAGATATCTTATATCTATGTTAGTGAGAAGTTTCAATAAGAAAAATATTCTTCAAAAGATGTAGTTTAGTTCAAAGGTGTCTATTAAATCGAACTGACGTAGAATTAGATCATATTGACTCGATTTCTATCCATACCATACCGGCCCACACAAAGGAAGCAAGGTTCAGATGAGTTATCTAATAAACTAGATTCATACAAGTTCATTTGAGAATATAAATATATCCGATAAAGTCCCATCGAATATAAAACATATTGATCGAGTCGTCTCGATCCAATCCAGTAAAATCCAACCCCGCACAAACCTAAACAAATCCGTTAACCCAACCCAATTAGAACCCGTCTCTTCAACTAAATAACCAATCCGATCCCCAAACCAATCGAGTTTAATTCTCCTAAACCATATCGGTCCGAACCGACCCGATCCGACCCCCTGAGTTGAACCTAGTAAAAAAGATGGATCTAAGTCCGACCCACATTTTGTTTCCAAGAAACGGTCGGGGCTCCGGTCTAAAGATGCAAATTTTCTCCAGTAAACACGCAGCTGCCTCCTCCGCCGCTCGCTTCTTCTTCTTCCTTCTCCCTGTATTTCTTCTTCTGATGTGCGTACTGTTGCCAACAAAATTCAATTACCCATTTTAGGTAACTGCGCCTTCAGTTTCAGGTACCAATTTTCTCTTCAATTTCCCAAAAAACCCATTTAGATTTTCCCCCATTTTCATCTTCTTCACATTCATGTATTGCATATGCTATTTCTCTTCTACAGAATGACCCTTTATGTTAGAGCTTCTAAATTCATCATACCCAAATCAAATCTCAATCATTTCAGCTTTTTCGTATTTTCTTCTCTTAAAAGATTGATTTTTTATTCATCTTTACATCAGTTTCAATGCCCATCTGAGATAAAAATCAATAATATTACAAGGAATGGTAATAATAATGGTGGCAATGGCATGCGGGAAAATCCCTTTTCAGATTCTGATATTCAGAGATTAATTTTGAATAAGATTGAAGAAAGGGGTTGGGTTACTGGGGAGGAATTTTGGGTTGTTCCAGATTGTTTTCATTCTTTAATTTATGATTCTGATTTGTTGGTTAAGATTCTTAGCTCAATTCGTTGTCGACCGAGGGTTGCATTGAGATTGTTTAGGTGGGCTGAAGGGCAAAAGGGGTTTAAGTATTCAGAGTTTTCGTTTTGTACCATTCTTGATATTTTGATACAGAATGGTTGGGTAAAGTCTGCTTATTGGGTGGTAGAAAGGGTGATTAGTAGTAATATGCATAAAGTTGTTGATTTATTGGTTGATGGGTATTTGAATTTGAAGGTTTCTGTTGAGATACTTAATCTTTTTTTAAGGATATACACGAAGAACGCAAATGTGGAGCTATGCTTGTTAGTTTTCGAGAAAATGCTGAGGAATGAGATGTTGCCTGATGTGAAGAATTGTAATAGGATTCTAAGGAACTTAAGGGATAGGAATTTAGTTACCAAGGCGAGAGAAGTGTATAAGATGATGGGTGAGTTTGGGATAATGTCTACTATTATTACTTATAATACAATGTTGGATTTGTTTTGTAGAGAAGGTGAAGTAGAACAGGCTTTGGATCTTTTATCAGAAATGGAGAGAAGGGAGTGCTATCCGAATGATGTTACATACAATATCTTGATTAATGGGTTATCAAAGAAAGGGGAATTTAACCATGCTAGAGGTTTGATTGGAGAGATGTTGAATAAAGGACTGAAGGTTTCAGCTCATACATATAATCCTTTAATTTATGGTTACTGTGTAAAGGGAATGGTTGTGGAGGCATTGAGTCTCGGAGAAGAGATGGAAGTAAGAGGAGCTTCACCTACTGTCTCAACATATAATACATTTATTTATGCTCTTTGCCGGCAGGGGCAAGCTAGTGAAGCAAGATACTGGTTTTCTGTCATGTTGAAGAAGAATTTGGTGCCGGACATAATGTCATATAACACTTTGATTTACGGATATTGTCGGTTGGGGGATATTAATGAGGCCTTTTCCTTGTTACATGATTTAAGGATCAGGGGACTTTTTCCTACAGTGATCACCTACAATACAATTATGGATGGACTCTGTAAAAAAGGTAATTTAGAGGATGCTAAGCAGATGAAAGAGGAAATGATGAGACACGGTATCTCTCCTGATGTATTTACTTATACTATTCTGGTTCATGGTTCCTGCAAGGCAGGAAATTTACCAATGACAAAAGAACTATTTGATGAGATGTTACAGAGGGGTTTGGAGCCTGACTGCATTGCTTACACAACTCGAATAGCAGGTGTACTGAGCCTGGGTGACATATTGAACGCATGCAAACTACAAGAGGAAATGTCAACAAAGGGATTCCCACCAAATATAATAATCTACAATGTATTTGTGGATGGTATTGCGAAGCTGGGTAATCTTGAAGAAGCAACTGAGTTGTTACAGAAGATGGTTGGGGATGGCCTTATGCCTGACCACGTAACATATACCAGTATAATTCATGCCTACCTCACATTTGGGAACCTTAAGAAAGCCAGAGAGTTGTTTGATGAGATGATAAGTAAAGACATAGTTCCAACAGTTGTAACATACACAGTGCTGATTCATGCGCATGCCGGTAAAGGGAGGCTTGAACTTGCACATATGTATTTTTCAGAGATGCAACAGAAGAGCATTCTGCCAAATGTGATTACCTTCAATACTCTGATAAATGGCCTTTGCAAGTACAGAAGAATAAACGAGGCTTACAGTTTCTTTGCTGAGATGAAAGCAAGGGGAATTATCCCTAATAAATATACCTACACCATTTTGATAAATGAGAACTGTGATTTGGGTAACTGGCAAGAGGTTTTGAGACTGTTCAAAGAAATGTTGGATAACGGAATCCAGCCTGATTCTTTTACATACAGTGCGATGTTGAAAAATCTCGGCAGAGATTATAAATCACATGCCATAGAATACCTTGACTTTATACTTTTCGGTGATGAAGGCGATGAAGGCACTGCCGAAGCAAAGAGTTGAAAAATCCCTGAATTGCCACTGGTATTCTTGGATGACTAGCTTTCTGTTCCTGGTCTTTGTTCTAAAGGCGCCACACCATGAGCTTGTCCATAATAGCTGCTGGTATGTGTCTGATATATGTGTTCATAACCACGTTATTATTTTTTATCATTGTTCTCCACCATGCATTTACAACTTTAATATAACTTTTATTAGGTGAGCAGATAGAGCTGGTCCATTTTTTATATGGACTTACTTCCTGTACTTGGGGTAAGATTGCGGAACCTACTTTGCCTTTCTCTTCAAATAAATGCATGGATCTCTGAATAAAATTTTCATTGTTGTCTCTCTCCTCTACTAAGTGGCTCTTCATTTTCCTTTTCTCATTTTTGTTCCCTGTGTTTCCTTTCCCAGAATTTTGACACAATTTCACATGCATACAAGCCTAATAATTGCTACATTTTCATGGATGAGTATCTGCTCTTAAACCTTCTTTTGAAGGAGATTAAAATAATGATGCTAGATATTGGAGGCAAGTAATTTCACTTTTTCTTGCGAAATTCACCTCATGTTTTGTTTTAACTTTGCAGGGCAAACACAAAAGTCTATGCAGTCTACCAGATAATACGAAATTCTTTTGCAGGTTAGTGGTATTTAATTTTAGTTGAGGGTCTCTAATTGTATAAAGTTCACTTTTTGGGTCTTCCCTCACATTTGTGTTCAGTTATAGTCTGTCTTCATGTTACAATTCTAGCTTTTGGAAACACTAAGATATCTGGTAGGACTTGCAAAAGTACTACAGTCAATCTGTTTAGGTAGCATCTATCCATGTTCGCTTTACCACTCTCTCTGGTTAAGTCGAACCATTTTATTAGCTTCAGGTCAACATTGTTGCTGTCTGTTTGGTGCAGAAAGTTGGGATTGACATGCAAGGTCTTGGTGCTCCTGAGATACTTCAAAATTTTCACTCCCATCCGAGATGCTAGGTGTATGAGAGTGATTTATGCCTTCTTCTGTCTCCTCTGTACATGGACATTCTTAAGACTGGTGACGTGCATTTTCTTGAAAAAGTACCCTTTGATTTTTAAGGAATTCTTGAAAAATTACTTTCAGTACTTGAGAAATTAATGAATTTTGAGAAACATTTTCCTGTATTCTACTCTATTTAAGGTTAATTTCCTGTTTAGTTCTAGTCCTAGCATGTAACTTTTGAGACCTATCTGACCAGATATCGGCAACTTGTCAGGTTAGTGGCACACGGAGCTGCTGTTCCTGAATATTTCTACGCAAATCTAAAGCAGTAAAGCAAAAGATGCCACTCTGGTTGGATCTCCATACAAATTCAGTTCCTTAAAGCATGCTAATAGGTACTTCTTGAAGCTATTTAAAGTCTAACGTTCTGCAGTACAGTTTCACCCTTTTTGTGGAGTGTGTGTTGGTTTTCATGCTTCCCACTAACTATTTCTATATGGATTTTTCAACTGCTGATAAATGCTAAACTTAATCCATTGCCTGATAGTGTTGGGAGCTGCTGTCCAAAATTCTAAGGATATGTTCTTACTCTTATTTTTTTTTATTTTTTTTTTCTATTTTCAAATGTTTCCTGTTGGCCAAACTAAGTAGATGTGTCCTCCACTACTTTAGCATTTATTGATTATTCTTGAATATTTAATCCCAAATTAGCATTTAGTTTCAAAGTTGTGCAAACTATCGTGGCACTAAACTTATGAGACATACAATGGAGCTGTGAAAAAAAGTGATAGTGCGTGAACTTAGGGACTCTGAATGAGTAACATATCCAGTTTAGATTTATGCCTGGTAGATCGACAATAGAGGCTATATTCTTGCTAAGAATATTCAAGAAATTTATCACTATAGGAAGAGAGGTTTACATGCTGTTTATTGATTAAAGCATATGATAGTGTACCAAGAAATATCCTTTTGTGGTTGTTGAAGATACTTATTCATATTAAATTTATAAATGTCATAAATGATATGTATGAAGGACAGAAGGAGCAATCACTGGTATAAGAACAATAGTAGGGACGCAAAGAGTTCCCATAACAGTGGGTTTACTCCAGAGACCGATATAGAACCCGCACATGTGCACTCTAATTTTGGATGAACTAACATAATACAAGATAAGGTCCCGTAATGTATGCTATTTGTTGAGGGCGCTTATGCTAATTGGCGAAACTAGTGAGGGTGTCAAAAAAAAACTTGAGTTAAAGATAAGCACTCTAGAGATTAATGATTTTAGGATAAGTAGAATTAAGACTAAGTGCCCATTTGGCTTAACTTAAAAAAAGTAGTAGTTTTTAAAAAGTCAATCTTCAGTAACTTTTAAGTTAAAAAATGAAAAGCAGGGGAGTACCTACTTTTAACTTTTAACTTTTTAAAGTCGTTTTAAACTTATTTTTAACTTTGTCAAACACTCCCAAAAGCTAAAAATGACTTAGAAGTAGGTTTGACGAACTTTTAAGCCAATCCAATCAGGCTCTAAATATATGCACTGCACGTTTGGCCAGCACAAGAAAAGTGAAGTTACAGTGAAATTCGACAAGATTGCTGTGCCTAAAATGCTTTTATTTTATAATAGGCTTGATGTTCCAGGAAAATGGTCTGATGGATAAAAATGTTACACAGAATCAAAATAGAATTGAAATGGAGAAGTGCTACTGGAATGTTATGTCATAAAAATGATACCTACCAAGGTGAAAGACAAGTTCTATAGAACATTATCAAGAAAATTTCCTGACAGAGCAAAACATATGCCCTGTATTTATCCAAAATAGCGAGAGATTGAGCTTTATCTATTTCGTTTTGTATTGGTTTGCTTGGAGCTGTATCTGTTCGTTCTGTTAGAGAACTAATCAATACAATGATACTGATCGAATTGATAAACTGAACTATTGCTACGTTTGGTAGTTAGTCATACTATTGCTATGATGGGTAATTAGGACTCAAAAGTACTGCTATTTCTGAGATTTCCCCAACATTGTAAGACCAATAATGTTCCCTGGAAGTGAATTAAGCCATTAAAGTCCAACGACAATTACTAGTCTACTACACCTCAGTCCTAAACAAGATGGAGTTGGCTATATGAATTCTCACTTCTTCATTTAAGCTCATTTCATATCATCATCATACTAAATAAAATAAAAGTTAAATATATAATAATAATGATAATAATATTAGAAGTTCTCCAACAAGTCTATAACTTATTCTCAACTAGTAACTATCACTTGCATGGTTCTTTTTCCTCCATTGTGCCCTATCTTTAGTTGAGGCACAATGGAGGAAAAAAATCCATGTAGGTGATAACTACTAGTTGAGGATAGACGCAAACTTGTGTCGCAAATATGTGGATTCAAAGATGGATGTGTGATTATACAAAGTTTAGAAAAGATAAAAGATGTCCACATTAGGGAGAAGACACAAGTAACACAAATTGAAGATAAAATGTGAGAAAGTTGTTGAGATGGTTTGGTCATATTGTACGTCGACCTCTAGGTGTACCGGTTCATAAGTGGGAAACCAAGGTGAGTGAAAGTGCTAAAGGGGACTTAAAATTTAGAAGGAAATTGTCTTGAAAGCCCACTCTTGTGGAATCCATGCAGACTTGATGAAAAATGGAGCACAATGGAATATAAAAATCTGTATAGAATTCTACTCTAGGTCCAATATTTTCCAGAAATCCTTTAGTCCTCTCAAAGATTTATATTCCTAAAAAAATGTAAATTAATTTAATTTATATAACATGGATCAAAATAAGTTAAAATGGAGCGACATGGACAATGAGGATCCGTATGCATGATGAACCTAATTCCTGAACTGTTGCACTTATTGAGTAATAGCTTGGCTTACTCCTCATTGCCTGTTTTTCTAAAAGGATGAAGACACTTTTCTTGTTGGGTTAATAATCATAAATTACTGGGAGAGGGAATATTTCATACTTGCTTAATCCTCTTGGGGGAAAATAGGTTGAAAATGAGAAGAATTTGGAATACAAGCAATCTAACAATAGATGCACCTCTACTGTGAGTGTGATGAATGTTGGACTGGAGTGTTTAATTAATTTTTTATTAAGATTTCCTTATTTGGAATAACTATAGTTTTTACGTTGGGATGCTTTGGACTGACTTATATATGTCGTAATTGTATTTCTTCCTCTATATATGGTTAGTGTTCTCTCCCTAGTGACGGATATAGGTGATTCTTGTAGATGATATCACCGAGATCCTTCTGCCTTACTTAGACGAGAGGAAACAGGTATCCGATTATAAATGAACCCATAAATCATAAACTGTTGACACGTGTTTCTGGATAGTCTATAGTGAACTGGTATCTCTATGATTCAATTGGTCGGTTGAGCACTTTACCTTGTGTATGTTTTATACACCTTTCCTGCTTTCTCATAACTCCCCGCGCTCTAAAAGTATTTATGTACCTGTTGAGAACAGAACCCTGACATCTACACTGTTTTTTTTGGGTAACAGACCTTGTGTTGTGCCTGATATGTGAAAGGTCAAATGCAAGTTCTGAGATTGTAGACAGGAGCAGAGGCAAAAAAAAGGGTTATTTCCTATCCGCCTAACCCCTGGTGAGAAGAGTTATCGATACCTTTGCTGGTGGAGGTGGCAGGTCAGTGGAATAGTCGAGGTGTGCAAGCTGGCCTAGACAGAAATTCACCAAGAGCAAATACATTTGAGAGTTGAGACTGTGATAAGGGTATGTGAACTTCACTACACGAATGTGTATGAAATCTTGAATGGTGGATGTCGATGAGTTCATTGTAGAGATGCAGCACTATATAAGTCGCGAGGCAAAGTGTGAATTGCAGTTTGTGAAGTTCTCCAAGTTTTCATCAACCAAATCACCAAGTTTTTTTTATGTGTTTGTTAAATTCTTGTAATTGCATTTTTTTTACTTACTCAAAAGAGCTAAAGTTGATTCCTCTGAATGAAAAAGAACTACTTTATCAACATATTGTCTATATTGCTCACTGAAAGAAGAAACTCAATTCTTTTAGTAATTGATTAGTGTCAATGAAACTTGTAAATATTTCCCATTACTGAGAAAATCAACAACCAGCAAATTCAAATGTATTTGTCATTTGAAAAAAAATTACATGGAATAATACTCCCTCCGTCCATTATTGTTTGTCAGGTATACTAAAAATAGTTGTTCAAAATTAATTGTCAATTTAAACAATGAAGAAACAATTAGTCACTTTTTTCCAATTCTGCCCTTAATAATTACATAACTACTAGTTTCAAAAAGTAGTCATTTTAAAGTTACAAGACTATTTTAATGTGAAAAAAGTTGTTTTTACAGTTTTTCAAAAAGTACAAACCATTTTAATAATGATTGATAGTAGGGTTATATTAGTCAAATTGCACATTATATTAAATTTTTCTTAAGGATTGTGCATGATCTTTACCCTGACAAATAATAGTGGACGGAGGGAGTAGTAATTAGTAACTGATAATTTGAAAATTGAACTTATGAATAGAGGAGCTAACGAGGTTGTTAAATAATCTTTATGGATTCTGTCATTTTATTGATTTGGTCTAAGTAATGAGCTAATGAATCCCCTTTCTTGTTATTATTGAACCAACCAATCATATTTGTCGAAAGATTCATAATAATCAACTTTACGAAGATTCCATAAGGTTATAACTCGTGAAATGTACTTCATGAAATTAATGAATTTTAAACACCTGAATGTCTTTGAACTTGCCAATCAAATTTGTCATAAGATTCATAATGATCAACTTTACGAAGATCATAGCTTGTGAATTTTATCGTTCGTATTTGAATTAGTTAAGTTAATGAATTTCAAATCCCCAAATTTAAATTAGTCAGGTCAATAAATTTTTGACAACAACTATCCTTATGGTCAAAGCTTGGCATCCAAATAAATGTCTATTCCTTTTCTTGTTTTTCTATGAACTACATTGTTCAAACTCTTAAGTTAACAAAGGGAAGAATATTAATTGAAGCAAAGACAAGAAC